TTCGATGTTTTAAAAAAAGTTTTAAAACAATAAAAAATGTTTAAAAAACTGTTTAAAACGTTTTTTTACCATCCCTAGTTTTATCACATGTATCTTAAGTTTTATCGGTTTATATTTTGATAGTTTCACGGTTTAGTCTAAGCTTCAAAAATATTAAAAGGCATTATCATATCACGTGTATAGTTTGTATTTTTATCGAGTTCAGCATCACTAGTAAAGATAGTTTAACGACTCAAATGTTTTTATCATTTCAATTAACAAAACACGTGAAGGTATTTAACTGATCAAGAGTATTTACCATTCCAATTAAAAGACGATGGAGACATCCTTTTTTTTCACGGAGTTGCGCTAATTGTTGAAAATTTTTCATTAATTGACTAAAAAAAAAAAAAATAATAATTGTTCAAGTGCTTCGCTCTTGGATCTTTAAAATTATACCAGCGTCAACGAATTGTTACCTTATTGCTCATGCTAAAAATCGTTACCATAAATAACTTTTTTTTGAATATGTTTTAATTTTTTTTAAGAAATTAGTGCTAAGTTTGTTATAATGAATTTTTAAAAAATTAGTTATACCATCATTTGTGCTCTAATAAAAAAAACTCTTTGTCAAATTTTAGTATAAATTATACACTGCCTAACCTAACCCCAGCTTTAATCTAAACCTAATTAAAAATTTTATTTGTTGCAAAGACAAGATTGTTGGATTTACATGTTACATCGTATAGCATTATAATAATATTCCCATAAGAGTATATATGGGTTTTAGAAGTTCAATTGATATCCCAAAATTTATTTTATTTGATTTCATTTTAGTATGCGAAGTTATCTGCAAGAAATTTTTAGTTAATATACTTGTACTAATTTATTTCAATATTGCACTATTGTACTCTCTCAATAATGTCAAATTACATAATTTAAATTAAATCATATTTATGCTGTATACAAATTATTGAATTATTTTAATATTTAAATTATTAGATTTTATAGTAAAATCAATAAAAGTTCGATAATGATTCAAAAAGCTCGCATAATGTTCTTGCAAAGTACATACACTAAGGCTTTTTCAACTCTTTACCCAAGATTATTACATTGAAAACTCAGAGAAGTTAGCGTGATATTCTTGCAAAATGCATTTGCTAATGTTTCTCGCCTTCCGATCTAAGCTTATTCCATTTATGGGTTAAAGAAGTCAACGTGGTGTTCTTGCAAAATATATTTACAAAGAGTATTTGCTCGTGCTATTTCTCCTTTAAGGTCAAACAAGTTATCGTAGTGTATTTGCAAAGGCGTTTCTCTTCTCCTGAGATTATTCTTGTTAAGATTTAAAGAAGTCAGCGTGTGTTTGCAAAATACATCTGCTAACGCTTGTCTTTTCTCTGATCCAAGATTATTAGAACTAAGATTCAAAGAAGTCAGCGTAGTGTTCTTACAAAGAGCATCTACTAATGCTATTCCTTCTTTAAATCCAAGATTATTTCTGTTAAGCTCAAATAAGTTAGCGTAATGCTCTTGCAAAGGACGCCCGCTAATGCTTTTCCTCCTCCTTATTCAAGTTTATTACGGCTAAGAGTCAATAAGTTAGCGTGATATTCTTACAAAGTGCATCGGTTAATGTCTTTTCTTCTGATCTAAGATTACTATTATAAAGATTCAAAATTTTCAGCGTAGTATTTTTGGAAGTGTATCTGCCAAATCTTTCAGCGTAGTATTCTTGGAAAGTGTATCTGCAAAATCTTTCAGTATAGTATTCTTGGAAAGTGCATCTACTAGTGCTTTGTCTTCTCATAATTTGAGGTTACTATGAAAAGACTCAAAGAAGTCAGCGTGGTGCTTATGCAAATGCATCTGATAATGCTTTTTATTCCTTTTAATCCAAGATTAGTTTTGTTAAGGCTCAAAGAAGTCAACGTGGTATTTTTACAAAGTACATCTGTTAATGCTTTTCCTCCTCCTAATCCAAGATTATGATTGCAAAGATCCAAAGAAGTCAGTGTGATGTTCTTGCAGAGTGCATCTGTTAATGTTGTTTTAGTAATAGTACTGATAGCTTTAAATATCTAAGATTTCTACTTGATCGCAAAGCCATTGCAAATAAAGAGCATTTTAATAATATATGCAAGTTTATCTTTTTCGAATAATAATAATCTAAACTATAACCTTCATTTTCAGCCCATTTATGATTCCTTTGGTCAAATGAAAACCAACAGTTGTAGTATAACTTCCGTACTCAAATAATAGTTTTGGATAGTTTGGAGGATCAATTTCTAGGAAGATCAATGGAGCTTGCTCTTCAGCATTTAATACGAAATGATATATTCTTATGAGCTCGCATCACTGAAATAATTCATAGATTCACTCCATAATGTTGATATAATAAAGTCTACGCCATTGATGATCAGTTCTAAAATTATTAAATATTTCAATAAACATTCGTTTGTCAACATTATCGTTTTGAGAGAACTGTGATTAGTTCAAATATTTAAAGGAATTTGTTCAATAACATTACTATTTTGAAGGAACTATGAATTTAACGGTAAAATTTGATTTTACTTCCATTATATATTCAATGTAAAAGTGTCGTGAATAGGGATAGGCAAATCGTGAATCTACTGCGCAGGATGCGCAGCTTGCAACATTATAAGCCGGCCAGAATGGTTTCATTGCCTAAATTTTTGATCGTCGCCCTTAGCCAATCAAAATCAAGAATCTATCGTGAATTTTGACGCGGCAACTAGGTCCAATAAACTATCGAGTGCTGCGCAGTAGCTCATTCCTAGTCGTGAAATATTGCACGTACAAGAATTTAGCTTATACAATTATTAGAGAATATACAGATTCTGATCAACTAGTGACAAAAATAACTATCCAATTACTTATGCAACTTTGCAAATCATATATGATCAAATATGGATACTATATTATACAAAGCTTACAAAATAAAAATGAAAAAATAATATACTATCTAAATCAAACTATAACTCAAGAACTTTTTATATAACAACTAATTCAAGTATAATATACTATAGAATACCCTATATCCATAGTTGTTTTTATAGCGTACCTGACCAACAACATACTGACAATACCTGCCTACCTCTTGAAAAAACTATTAGAAAACATTATAGAATATTACATAGTACTCCAACTAATAATCTTTTAAATTATACAATCTAGGTAAGTTTTATCCAATCTAGGTAAGTTTTAACCACTCTAGTTAATTTAAGTTGTAGATAAATTAGAATTTCTAGTTTCTATATAGTTTCTGATAGTCTGAATCTCATTTTTGTAAAAATTTTATAAATCGATCCCGGCCAGAGAAATCCATAGTGGATCCTCAATACAAAATATTAATAAAGATAAAAGGCAAAACCTCATCTTAAAAAAAACATATGCGGAGTTAGCAGCAATGTGTGATTTTGTATAACTATATTATTAAATCTTGGTACTCAATGTAATTATAATTTTTATTATGAACTACATTTACAAATTTGATTTAGTAATTCTACAAATTGATTAGATTACGAGCTACCGTATTTTACTATTTTAGGTAGCGTTCCCAGTCAAAACAAACGTGTTTTTTTCAAGTAAAAAGTTGCGTGCAAAATTAAAGTTAAACCACGTTATAGGGTTAGGACTAGAGTAATGTGACATCTATAAGTAAACTTTCACAAGGAACATTTTTAATTAGACCACAGAAGGTGGCTTCCTAATTAAACTTTAGAGCTATTTTTGTTTTTTTTTTGTAAAAACAATGGTTTCGTTTCGATTTTATGTTACACCTGATCCTGAAATCCGTTTTGGCAAAATTGCAAGGGATGTACGATTTTTTGTGAGAGAGCTAGTGACTTCTTAAAGTACCTACTTGATCGATTTGTACCGGGAATAATTCAAGATTATCGCAATTTTATTGGCTGTTTTGTAGGAATAAGCCTGTTTTGCAAATTTGGGTTTATAAAGTACTCAGGTACTTTACACAGTAAAATGCGGTATTGAGAATATAAATTTTATATTTTGTCTAATTTTTACGAATATGATTTAACGTTTTACAAATTTAATTAGATATTTATAAAATTTGGTAAAGACAATTTTATTTATAATTCACACTTTAATACTAATTCTAATTCTTAATTAAATCACTAAAGTTGCATGAAATTTTTATTAAAGACACTTAGATGAAATAATGTGACAATAAAATAAAAAAAATTATGTATTATAAAAAATCTAGACAACTAGAACCCTAATTAAATACTAAAATGTTCGTACCCGGAGTAGGAATATACTTATCATCGCGACTTTTCCTACGATTATAAATAATGCCTATGATGCCTCCAATAACGATGAGAGCACCAAGTAAGCCGCCAATACCAGCAATTAGTAAAATGTTGAAAGGTAAATGATTATTAGATTGATCGGAATCTTTTGGTGTTGCATTTGGTGTTGCATTAGATGAACTGGCACCATTTGCACCAGGAGGGGTAGAAGTAGTAGTAGAAACAGAAACAATAGATGAAATCCATGTATAATTTGAAGTATCCAATATGTAAATATTATTATTTGGGGCAGTTAATATATCAAACTTCGCATTTAAAATACTGACACCTAGAAATTAAATTTAATAAGTTTTAAGCAAATGAACGAAATGAACGTTTAATCAGTAAATATAATACCA